CTCAGGTGCTGGTTAGGATCTCTGGGACTTCTTAGGAAAGTGAAAGCTGTTCCTGTCGCACTGACTGCTGTGAAGAGGAGCAAAATTGCATGAAAGCCAGGGGGAAAATGCTGAGATTGGCTTATTCCAGAGTTCCTCAGGGGACTTGCTAAGATGAGAGGAACTGAGTGTCCTTAGCTAGAAATCCTCCATAGTGATATTTGGCCAGGACTTTGTAATCATTAGATGTGTGACTTGAGAACTTTTAAACCTTCTCCTTAATACTGGCTAAGTGTAGCAGTGTGTTCAGGTTTCTAACATAGTTCTTCCCCTGCACTGTGCTTAGCGGCTGTTCTTGCCCAGCTTTTGGTGGCTGTGTGGGTGCTTTTTGTGGCCTTAGAGGTGCTGCTGAGAGGGGGCTTTCTTCTATTGCAAGGTTCAAGATCAGGACTCTCCTTTTCCCTGCTGATTTTGAAAGTGTCAAGGGCAATACAAAGCCTCACTTGAACTCTGCAAGGTTGCAGGATATGTGATTTGAAAATTATTGTAGTGCCTATCCTCATTATTAATTTTCTATTTCATCTTTTCCTCAAGGTGGCTGTGGACAGAAGCAGGTGCTCAGTCAGATCTTGAGAGTTCTCTGGGGATTGGAGGCTTTGGGTATCCAGCAATGGCAGCTGTTAATGCTCGGAAGATGAAATTTGCCCTTCTGAAAGGATCGTTCAGTGAGCAAGGGATTAATGAGTTTCTCAGGTATGAAATCTTTAAGTGACTTAAGTCTTTCTGTATCTGGGGCAATAACTCTTTAGACCACAAGCAGACTCTCCTACATCAGACAAGACTTGCACAATTAAGAGAATTAAGATAAGAATCCAGTGGAGTAAGGGAATGGTTTCAATGGGGATTGCAGTAAAGTAGTTATTACCTTTGTGGTGTGCAGAATTAAGTTGGCCATTTAGCTTTAGATAGGTAGTTATAGTACAATATTTGAAAAGAGAAGTGGACTTTGATGTTGAAAAATTCTCTGGTAACTTAAGAAATAACTCACTAATGAATTCCATTTAATTCAAATGGTGCATTCTGTCTAGTCATTAGTAATTGGAATATCCCCAGTTTGGGAATTCTAATGGTTACTTTTGAAGTTCATGAGGTTGTATATGTTACTGTTCATCTTTTGTATTCAGTTTGGTCCTGTCTTCGCCCTCCCACCTTTCCATTCTCCTGGCACTTGATAAATTGATTGGGAGAGTTGAAACAATCCATCCAAAAAGTCAATAGCTCACTGCTCAGTACAAGTCCTGTGAAACTGCCTCTTGTGTAGCTGGGCAAGAGCCAGTGCTGAGAATGGAAGAGGAAAAGGAGGGGATGACAGAATGTGGCAGCAGCACTGAAACAGAGCAGCTAAACTTAAACTGTTACTTTAGTGTGGTCTAAGTGAAGTGGGAACTCTGCTTCCACATAAAGTACCAGCTGCCATAAGTTATGCAAGAGCCCTTGAGACCTTCCAATAGAAGTGTTATTTCCATGTCTATCCTTGGAGAATGGCAGCAAATGCAAATACAACAGCATCTCCTCACCTTGCCATAAGAAGCACATTAATTGAATGCAGTTCCTACTGGATTAATTGAATTAGTGCTATATTCTTACCTGTGAAAGTGATCAGACTTTCTTCTTAATGACAAAAAAAAGGAACATTCTTAGGGCATCAAGTTAAATTCAGGATACAGATGAAAGAAGAGAAATACCAGATAGTTTATACTAATGCACATGAAAGTGCCTGCCTTTGTCAGACATGGAAAATTTTCTTAGTCTATAAAGTCCATCTTAATGAAGCCTCTCCTGTGTGAGGCTGGATGATGCTCCTAGGGCACAGCAGCCAATTTAACAGCTTACATTGCATTAGGTAATTGGTTTGGTATTGTCTTATGCAGCTCTACTTGCTAGAATAATCTCTCCCCGACACTCGAGCTCAGCTGTGTTGCTTAGAGAAAGCAGTATAATCACAGCTGGTGTGGCTGGCCATTCACTCAGCTGCTGTAGGCAGCTCCTGCAATCTAATAGGCAATCTCAGCAGTGTTGACTGCAAATATGGAAACTGGTACTGTGAAGAGCATAAAAACTGAGACCTCCACTTGAGGAGGAGTAGTAATTTACTCTTATTTGCCTCCAAAATATGCAAAGGAATTAGCTCCTCAGGGTTTTATTGCTGGGCTTACTGGACAAGCCTAACTAGCAAGTTCAGGATGGAGTGTCTCAAACAAAGCTGGTTACCCTTGTACCCTTTGGAGCCCAGGGATGCTGTCTGCACTAAAGAAGATCGCTGGTGATTGCAAGTAACATTTGCAGGTGACTTCCAGAACAAGATTTACAGGCTCCCCTTGGAGTTGCCTTAAGTGATAAACTGTTAAAGAGGCTGCACTTATCTGTGATTTTTACACTGCTGAAATATAAAATAGTGTATCTCAGATGTCTTTGAATTCAGTTATAAGTTTTCAGTGTTGCTTAGAGGGCTTTGTGATTTTCTGCTTCTTGAAGTTTTTGCAACCAGACAGTTTGTATCTACTTACTGAGATGAAATCTTTAGCTTGTATTCCCCTTATCTGAAGCAGGCTCTGTTCCAGGTGGATGGAGGTTGGGGGAATTTCTTAAATTTAACTTTACATGTTTTTCCTCAGGGAACTCTCAGTTGGTCGTGGATCTACAGCACCAGTGGGTGGTGGAGCTTTCCCCAAAATTCATTCAGTTGAACCTTGGGATGGCAAAGATGGTGAGGTAAGAGGTGTTCCATTAAGTGTTGAGGAGTTGCTGTGTTCAGCAGTGATGGGATAGAATAACTAACACCTGTCAGTGTGAAAGTTCTTGTTCTTACAAGATTATGGCAAGTTGTGTTGATGGTTTCCCGTTATCTTAATCCTGCCAGCAGACCAGATGTTACATTGATTATCTGACATTGTGGACCAGATGTTCCTGCCTAACTGTTAGGATGTGATCTGAAAGCTGGATCCCTTGAGGCAGAAATGTATTACCAGTGCTGACTAAGGGAGGTGGTAGTGCATACATTCAGGACCCCAGTGTTGTGGAGACTTGGGTTCTGCAATATGCTGATCTTGCCATCAAGGTCTTAATGCCAGAAAGCTTGTCAGGTAAAGCCTGTGTAATAAATAACATGGTGACCAAGTCTACCTTCTTAAGGTAAACCAAAGTTTTTACAGTTTTTGCAGTCCTTTGATCTACTTCAGATAGATAAAAACATGGAATATGGTATATTTTTCTTACATAGTTTATTTGTATAGCCTTCATCTGGAGTATTTTGATTAGTAAAAAACAACCCTCTAGTCTAAACTCTGATCACTTGTCCTGTGCTTAATGCACTTGGAGTTTTCTGAATGAAAGAGATGACAGGAGAGAGCTTTACTCTCAGGATGAAGTAAGAATCTTTCCAACTCGGGGATCTCCTGGCATTAAGCATTTCTAAGCATGTACTCAAAACTTTCCCTTTTTAACAGCTTCCAGTTGAAGATGACATTGATCTCAGTGATGTGGATCTGGATGACTGGGATAAAGATGAGCTGTGAGATCTTCAGGAAACTTCTTTTCTTGGGAGAGACTGTGCAGCAGTTTGCAGCCTGGATCACAATCAGACAGATATTTCAGTGGCCTTTTTATGGAGAAGTAGCACATGACACACTGTGCTGTTGGATGCACTGCAGCAGTGGACTGTACGCATCTCAAGAAAACATTGCAGAAATTCTATGAATTGTCATAACCAGTAAACTTGATTGTATTCTGTGTAACAAATATTTTGAGGACAACATGGATATTTCTTTGGAACATCTTGGGTTTTATTTTGTTGATAATGTGCTGTTTGAGTGTTACTGGAGGCTGTTAGTGTAACCAATTTTAACTGTAATTTTTTTCATGGAGGTGGAACCTGCTCAGCTTCTGTTTCAATTAAAGAATAAAATATTTTTTGACACACAGTGTTAGTCTTGTATAGAGTAAGAAAAGTGCACATAGTACAAGCAGTCCCATTTTGGATGATTCTTGAAAGTGAATTTAGAATAGAGGCTTGTGCAGAGGGCAGTCCTAAACCACCTCCTTGCTGCGAGATCTTGACAGTTTGGCCTAAAGCCTGGTAAGATGGACAATCTTAGTTTAACTGCTCTTCAGTCTTCCTTTTCCTATTCCTTCTCAGGGGCTTTCTCTTTACTTGTGCCAGACTTCATAAGATCATTAATATAATGGAAGTGGGGTTGCTGCTGCAATGAGAGATGCTGGGAGCAGTTGGTCTTTCCCCTGGATTAGTGATGAAGCTAATCTATGTTCTAGGGCATAAGGATTTCCAGGTGCTAACAGAACACCACCCTGGTGCTGTCTCCAGCAAATTGGGTAATATTTCTTCACTTCCCATCTGGCATTGTTTGATCTGAAATTGCTATTTCCTTTAGAAGGGGAATCAGGACTGTGAAATAGGGATGGGTACTGCTGCTTTTTTAATAAAAATACTATTATTTTATTGCTCTCCATGTCTTGTATATTGGTGTCTAGTGAAGCGACCCTGATGTGATCAGCTTGTTTATAAATAATGAATGAAAGAGCTGAAAGATTCCCCTTCTTTCAAGGAAATAACATGATATGGATATTTGTCATCTGGTGTCTGTAAGAGATTGCCCATAGCTCATCCCCGTGAAAGGCAGTGCTGGAACCATGGGCAGCCAGCAGTAACTGCTAATTCTGTGCAGATGTGCTGCCACTCTTAAATCACCCCAACAGATGAGCTGTAATGGAACTGCTAACTGAAATATCTTTGCAAAAATTAAACTCATGAGTACTTGGGACTGTAAGTCATATTATGGTAAGTTCCACAGCACATTTGAGGATCTTTCCTCTTCAGCTTTTGGGGTTTTTTTTGTTAAATTAAAGGAGCTTTGGGCTTTGCTCTAATGCTTTCTACTTTTTCTGTTTGGATTTTTTTTAAGTTTGCTTTGTTAGAAAAAAGAGGACTGTGTACACCTAGTAGATCCATTAGCCACCACACTTTTTCAATTGTTTTATTTCAAGTCCAGTAGATATTCCATCTTTGTAATTTACCAAAAAAAAAAAAAATAAATACTACCATAGTACCTCTGCCTCTGAAATATGTTTTTGTAAAACTATGAATAAGAGAACTTACATTGTAGTCACTGTAAAAATTACTAGAAGTGGTAGGAAGATCATCCTGCTACAGCATCTGCATTTTAATTTTACTTTCAGCAGCTGAAGATTGTTTTACAGTAACATGAGAGTCTTGAAAATTAATAGATGAAGCTTGAGCAATTCTTCTTTAACTGCAGTCAAGAAGACTGAGGTCAATCTTGAAATAGACATAAGGATAGTATTCTTGATTACTCAGTTGTAACCCAGGGATGTCCATGCCAGGCTGCAAAAGGAAGTAATGGTTTTAGTACCAGTAAACCTGTGCAGCCCCAAGCTGCAGGGGATTGCTTTTGTGCTCCTTTCTCACAGGTGCAATGGAGCTTTGTATGTTCTGTGCTTAAGGTGGGGAATTCACCACAGAGAATATGCTCTGCTGCTTTTTTCAGGCTGCCTAATGTAATTGAGAATTCATGCCTATGCTGTTATGAACTTGGAGGATTTTAGAGTGCTTCAGCTCTACAGCAACCCATCTCTGTCCTCACTTCATGCAGTAGGACCTGTGCTTGCTGGTTTTAGGCTGTTTTGAAGGCCTGCTAGCTCATTTATTGCTTTAGCCTGAATTGTTTTGAATTGTAATTCAGGATATGGGGAAGGAGAAAGCAAGTACTGCTTCTTGTTGTAGATCTAGGTTATTTATGAATGACAGCCTTTTACAGGGGACAGAGGCATCACAGTCCTAAAATTTAGTTCCAAATTATTTTTTTTGCTTGTGTTGATCTGAATGTTTACAGTAGATTTTAAGCTTTTTATATAGAGGAGTGGCCATAACTGAGCAGACCTATTTTGTTCTGGTAGCTGTAAACATCAGATGCTTCAACAGAACATGCAGGCAATCTCTCAGCATCTTCATCATAATCTGAGCCTACCCTAATCCAGTCTGTAACCGACTGGGATTAGAGCTGGATCCAGGGCTGCTATCATTGCAAGATGTGAGGAGATGCATGCTTTAACCCCAGGACAGTGGGTTCAGTTCAGGACAATTCATTTGGCTGAGAGAGGCTACAGCATGTGCACTTGCAGTCCAAATACATACATCCATTATACTTGCTGCTGCAACTTCATCCAGGTGTTTGAAGACCAGGTTCAGGACGTCTCTCAGGCGCTTCACAGATTTCCTATTTGGCTGCAGCAGCATTGCTTGGAAATTCACAGGGAGGCCATACCTCAGAATACAACATACATGATCATCAGCTGGGAAGGGACACAGCTGTCTGCTTGTGCCTTTCTCCCTCCTCAGCCTCCAGGCATGCCCTCTGTGGTGTGTTGCAGAAACAATGCTGCCTCTTACTGGAAAGCATTTCCTTTTTGAAGCCAAAAGTCAACTAAATAGTGTCTTTTTGTTTTCCCCTTCCCTGTAAGTGCCCCCAGAGGATCGTTTTTCATCAGATTCCTATGTCACCTTTTTTTGTGGACATCTTTATTGTCCCCTGTGAGCTCCTGGAGTGAAGTGTGTAAGGCACACACCTCGAGCAAGACAAAACAAGGTGTGTAAGGATTCCTCCCACAAAGGAACTGCACCAGGAAAAGAGCTGTACATTTTGACTTCCCCAGGAACCTCTGCCTGCACTCTGTGTCTACTCACCTCAGCACAGATTCAACAAAAACTCTCAAGGCTTTCACATGAATCCAAGCAACAAATGCTTCACTGAAATTCACCTTCAGCCAGCGTAGTAAGGGGCCCTGTGAGAACAGAACAGTGCTGTGATCCCTTCACTGAGTGAAGCAGCTCCATAGCAAACACTGGCACTGAGGCCATCATGGGCTGCTGGGATAGTTCCCAGGCAGCCTGATAGTGGCTCCCAGTCTATCAGAAACTCGAGTCACTTTGGGCAAATCATGTTATTTTTTCCATGCCCCAGTTTTAATGGAACTCACCAGAGACTGTTGGAATCATAAAATCATTTCTGAGAGAGGTGCTTAGGCATGCTGGTAGCAAAGGCTGCCACTATGTGGGCCACCAACTCACAAGGTGCTACTTACATATTGTTGTTTCTTGTCAGAAGCTAATTTCATCAGCTCTTCCTTTTCACATTTCAGTTCCTTCTCATCATAATAAAATTCTCGAACCATGAACCTACAATTGAATGACATTTGCTCTCACAAGCCTTAGTCCAAGCAATATGCACACTCATTTCTTTTTTGCCAGGAGAAGCAGGTATGGGAAGTTGCTAGCCATTTAACAAGTTTAAGTATGTGCGGGGTGGGAGTTGAAATTACCCCTAGAAAGACAGCTTTCTGCTGTCAGCAGAATGAGAGCCAAAAGGGCAATTCCAGGATCTGTAACTTGGAGCTTCAAGAACAGGATCACTGCTTTTGCTACCACAGCTCCTTCCCAACCTGCCCTTTCAGTGGCCTTAGTACCAAGAGCAACCCAAGCAGTCAACAAGTGATGGATTCAGCAAGCTGCACACACAACAAGCCTCACGTGATCCTCATCTCTTGCTAGCTTGTCCTGCCCAGCAGTCAGGGCCTCTTACCTGTTCTCCCTGGCTTTAGCCTTAAAGTCATCCATCACTTTTCTAAACAGGGTCACAGTGAAGAGTCCTCCCTCTGCATCCTCAGCAATCATTCTGTGGGAGGGAAATCCACTGCTGTGATTTGACATGGCAAACCCCTCATCCCTTTTTTACCTACCTCACCTGCCCCTTTTGCAATTATTTTTTAGTTTCATTTATGATACTGAACAATGCCCTTCTTTTTGAAAGCTGCTGTGACAAAAACAGGGAACAATGACTTGACTTTCACTGGCTACTCTATTTCAATGTAAAACTCAATTTGTTTAGTTCCTGAACCAACTGTAATACACACACATTCTGCCTGCCTGATTTTTCTGTTTCCTGGTATCATTCCCCCAACTTAACATGCACTTGTGTTTTTGAGACAGGCAGTAGGCAAGACAGCTTGTTTCTTTCTCTGTGCTTTCCACCTTCTCCATTTCAGGTAACACCACTGTCAGCTCTTGTGTCCTGGACTGGATCTCATAGTCTGCATGAGCTGAGCAATGGAATATTTAAGTCCTGTGAAAGATGTTTTTACCTGAGGTGAAAAGATGAGTTAATATGGCTTTTGCTAGTGCAAATAACAGTATTCTGAATTATTCTATGCTACAACAGGAAGCAATTAAAAATGCAGATTTAGTTTTTCATCTTTTTATAAAGTACTTTCCATAAAGCTCTATGTGATTGCATGTGTCTGAACTATACCTCCATTAATATAATAAATTGTCTGTTTTACACAAAAAGAAGCAGCAGCCTGGTTGAAAGTAAAAAGAAATAGATTACTGGAAAAGGGAACAAGCTAATTGTAAAAACAATTACTTTTTCTTTCATCTGTACTTTCTTTCAACAAACTAAATTCTATTTGAATTTCAAATATGTTAATGTGGAGCCTATGCATTAGACCAGTGATTTCCTCCAGGATCCACCAATTTGAGAGGCTGAATCATGACAGGGATCACTGAAACAAACACAGAGCTTGGAATTTCACTTACTTGGTGGAGCGAGGTACTACCATATCTGAGAGTGATTCATAGGTCTTCTGCCACTGGAGGTAGCTTGACCTTTGAGCAATACAAAACAAACCACAGTAAATAAATACTATATACTGGAAAGCAAATGTTGATATATGTCGTTAATTAAGCTAATAACTTAGGTTAGAAGGGTTGAGCTCTTTGTGCTGGGTTATGTCATTAAGATACATTTAAGCCTCTCCTATCCTTTCTTCTTCCAATTCACCAGCTGAGAAGATGCTTTCCTCAGTGCTACACCCTCAGTCTTCACTGAGGATCTTGGCTTGAGGAAGGGTCAACATCAGTAAGCTGATGGTGGGAAGAACATGGCATGTACTTCCAGACTGCCCACACAGTATTCCATGCTCCAGGACACCTGCACAAGCTGCCCTGGTCCATGGGTAGGTGTGCTACATCTGCTATGTGCAATCCCAGAGCTGATCTGGTGCTAGACTGCACTCCTGGTGAATGCCAACACTGTGAGAACGGGAACAGGGGGATGGTAAGAGTTTGCAAAGAGAGAAGTCTCTTTTTAGTGTGAATAAACTCAGATAATGAAGTCAACAAACTTAGATAGCTTTTCGCAACCTGGTTTTCAGAGACAGAAGAGTGATGGTGCTGTATGTTGGGACAGGGCTATATGGAAAGGAAAAGTTTTGTGTAGGGCTCTGAGGAGAACATGGTGTAACTTCCCCATTGGTAGCAGTCATCCTATGTATGGGCACTTAGAAGGGCACAGACAGCAGAGAGACTGTGAGGTGAACAGGTCTAATTCCTTTTAGAAACTGGCTATGCTGCTGTAAGCATTTCTTTTGGCTCATACTATTCCTATCAGGAGACTGAGAACACACTAGTAACCATGGAAAAACCTACATGTTAATTGTTCTGCTCTAACTTTGGCACAATCTTTGTTTCTCTCTTTTGTGCTAGCACTGCTCTTGGCAGAAACTGATCTTTCTTTGCTAAGGGCTCCACCTATGTCCCAGTCAGGGCACTCATGTGCTGCCCCAACCTGACCTGGTATCACCTGGTTCTGGAGCTTAGGCCTGGCACTCAGGCCACACGGGGTGTGTGCACACACTGTTGCCTTACTTTGGCACCACGACGAGCAGCGTGATAAGATACTCAGAATTCAGAACAAAGTCTTCTTTGTGCACAATGTCTGCCAGGGTCCGAGTCAGCAGATTTCCCCTACAGTGAAGAAGACAAAGTAAAAATAACAGTAGCAGGAACTCCTCAGTGGAACATTGGAGGCATTGTGCTGTGGGTGGAAATGCTAACAGTATATACTGGAAGAAGAAAGCCCAGAAGGACATGGCTAAAGTACACAGCTATGCTTCTGAAATGGCTGTTTCATTATTTTTACTACAACTAAAAGAATCAAAAAGTAACTAATACTAAGGACACAATATTGGTGACTAGCAGGAGGCCAGTTTATGCCCTTTATGTCAAATTACACCGTTCTGCTGCTGTAAGGATGTAAATACTTGGGAAGTGCACATCTGCTCCCAGTCACTGCCACATCTTGTGGGAAGCACCTGCTCTCTCAGGAAGCCTGACCATGCTGCAGGGAGTGAGCCATGTAAGTACAGACCTAAGCCATCACAGCAGCCTGGCATTCCTGGTCTGCTGTGGGCAGGCACACTGAGACACTTCCAGCTGAACAGCAGCAGGAGCAGTAGTCAGTCACATACAGGTGAAACCTGCAGGAGACTAAGCCCACCTGATCACATTAATTCCTAGGACATGTAGGTAGCCAGGACTGGCTACATAAAGGCTGGAAAGCACTAGGTGTGAAGAGGAGCTGCACTCTCTGTCACTGGGCAGGAGTGAAAAAGGACCTAAAATAGTAGTTTTGGTTTGAGATTCACTGGGCCAGTCTAAATATTAACTAATTGGATAGTTATTTTGCTAGATATTTGTTCAACCCAAGTTATTTGGCACTGTAGACACCAGAGTCGTCGGCATTTAAAGGTGGGTGGAATGGTGACAGAAGATTGTCCCCGGCCACGAGGTCTCCAATCTTCTCCCTCCTCATGCTGCTGGAGCCCTGGCCAGCAGGCTGCCAGTGTGGTTGTGGTGTCAGGGCTACCTGTGCCCTGTGCCTAATCCTGAGTAGGAACAGTGGCACATATGAGCATGTGTTGAGTGAGGGCTTGCACAGCATCATCTAAGTTTCTTTAAATTTACTACTTACTGGATTTTACCAATCTCCCCAGTGATATCCTAGAAAAACCCCCAGGTATCAACGCTGACATAGGCAAAGACCATAAGCAGATGAAGACAGGAGAAAGAACGTTTGGGAAGCCCAAGCAGTGCATTACCTGAACTAACAGAAGGAAAGAAAGAAAACAAAAATATAAGTGGTATGCTGGTGAGGTGCAGGATCAAGCAAGATAGAGCTGTTTCCAATGGGAGCTTTGCAAATGCTGCTCAGAACATGGGGCACAGCTCCATGTGGCAAAGGAATCCACCAGCTGACACAGTTCAATTAATTTCTGATTTCCTGAAGTCACATCAGAGCAAAACAGTTGGCTTTTTCCAAGACTGCCTGCTCACACTGTCAATAAAATCCTATTAGGAACTTAGTCTCCCTGAGCTTATTTTGAAAATATGCTGACCACACCAGCTATCCCACCACCTGTTTTCACTGGGTCTCTGAATGCTCAGCATGTCCCAAAGGAAAAAAGTTGTTCCAGAACACACATGGTCCACTGCACAGCTATGAACACACTGCACAGCTGTGAACACACACTGCCTTCATTTCAGCCATGCAACAGCATCCCCTGTGCAAAATACTTACATTGTTTTCTTCTCCAGGCTTTGCAAATTTCCTTTAATGTTGTTGTACGCCGCTGATCGGGCCTTTAGGTCTGTTTCTATTTGAGTCACTTGCTAAAACAAAGTGAAAAAAGGGAGTCAGTGCAGTGCTTGAGGCCTTGTTCTCACCTTTGTCCCGCTACTACAGCACCTTAACACAGAGACACAGCTGCCAGCTCCCCTAAAATCACCGAGAGAGAGCTTGGGGCCAGAGCTCCCCTGGGGCAAAGGCCCCTGTAGAAAGTAGTGTTCAGTCAGCTGTTGCTGTTGGTGTGCTAGGGCTGTACCTAAGGGGCAAGTTCATGGTTTTATTTGTTACCTACACTGAACAACAACACGTCATGCCTTTCTGACTGAACTGACAATGTAAATAATTCATTCAGCCTGAAGGCATTTGATTCGTCAGACCAACAATTTCACAAAAAACATCTCCAAAGTGGAGAATAATACGACAATATATGAAAAAAAAAAGAAAATTACAATGAAGGGGATTAAAGTGCAGAAAACACATCAATGAACTCTACTGAATCTGATAAAGTGCCATATACTTACAGACTGAATAGGTTTCAATATATGTATCATTATTATTGCAGAGAAATTAAAATATTATCAACTGCTTCAGTACAAAGTGTTTGCTTCTTAAATTGTTCCTGCTCAAACCAAAGGCAAAGCTCCCACTGACTGCCATGAGAGAAAGAATCACAACCAGCCAAAAGACATGCTTTCCCATGATGACATCTTAAAATCATGAGTACAATTTACCTTTGTTAATGCTTCTGATATATTCTTCAGTGGCTGCTTTATGGGATATTTGGCCATGTCCCACTCAAACCGTGTCAAGTAGCTAATTAGGTCAACTGAAAATGCAAAGAGAGGCATGAAGGCAGATAGTGTATCAGATGGCAGGTCAAGGTTTGAGAAGTAGTCCCCACTATAGCTTAGGCATAGCTTTGATTAACTTTAGAGTGCTAACTAGAAGCCCACCTCTCAATTATTATAGAGATTTTATCTAGAGCAAATATGCTCAGATCCTATGCCCAATCTAATCAACTTCTTAAACATCCCCAAACTTAAAAGTTAAACCAAAAATCTTTTCTGCATTGCACCTAACAGTACAGAAAAAGTGTAAAATTATCTGTATCAGTGGGACACAGCAGTGTACAGCTATTCTTCTTCACAGTAAAACAGTTTTGTGTAATCTCAGTCTTGATTTCTGCAATATGCCTGAATTTAATCCCAACAACAGCTATCAGAAAAATATTTTGTGCCGAGGATCAGCAGTAATATTCAGGGTTGCTGAGAGCTTGCTCAAAGGTATTAAGAGCATAGCAGATGTCACTTCTCTGTGATTCAGTCAAAAGCTCACTAGAAATCAAACAAATGCAGGTGTGATGAGGAATTCCTCATAGACTGCACACAGAGGTCTCCATTTTACACTAAGCTAGAGACTATATATTACATAAATCCAATCACAGCACCCAAGAACAGAAATTCACAGCAAGGGTCTGTGCATGCAACCCCCAAAACAAGGCACCCTTGGACCACAGGAACCCAGGGCTTCCTTCCAGAATGAAGGGGAAATGAATGCATACAACAACCAGCCCCTAGAACAAGATGTTCCTGTTTCACTGTTTGAAGATCGAGGGTTCTTGATGTTAGAAAAAATTTAGGCTGAGTACATAATGGTGCCCAATAAGGAATTCTCCTCCAGCAGCTCATTAAATCAAACAGCTCTTTGTCTGAGTCCTGAGGGCCTTTGGATGTTGAACACACCACTACATAGTGCTCTTGCAGACCTTTATAGGATGGAGCAAAGTCATGCATCCTGCCACAACAAGATGGGCTGGGACTGCCCCCCAGAAGGTTAGGGAGACAAGGGGAAGGCAGAAGGCAGGGTCTCAAGGTCTAGAAAAGAAGCCAGAAGCACTGTCACCTAAAGGGTGGGCTACCTTCCAGACCAGGAGGGTAAAAATGGAGAATGTCTGGGAAGTTGCTCTAAGGTGATAGGGAACAAAACAAGCTCAAGGTGCTAAGTAAAAGGACATGCATGCTGGGGCCCTTCAGTGTTCTTTGCTGCCTTGTTCAGGGAGTGAATTCAGTCCCACAGCAAGGTCTGAGCACAATTTCTTATGGTCTACTTTGAGGTTTAGAGAAAAACTTTATGAACCAAGATGCAGGAGAAGGAATGTGAAAAACTGTGTAATTGCCATACTACCAGGCTGAGGGTATTTTGCAGTCTCATGTGATACTGAACACCCTTGGCAGGACAGCACTACCCTTTCCATGGGCTTCTCTCACCCCACAACAGAGTCAGTTTACCCTATTAGATTTCCAAAGCATGGAAAGTCTTATGTTAAGAGAAATAGGCTTCTTAGTAAGAGATAAACTGCCTGGAAGGCAGAGAGCACTTGCCTTGGCAGTGTTCTCCCCCTCTTTGAAAACCACAGCTGTGTCAATGTCCCCCACATCCAATGGACAAGAGTCATAGGGCAAAGATCCAACCCTTCCTGCTAATATCTGATCAGGAACAAGCAAATTCTGTACAAGGGAGGGTGTAGAAAAGGGGCAAAACTGCAGAAGATTGGGAGAGCTATGACACAGCTGCTGCATGCACAGCTCTCCGTTGATGCTTGCTTGTGATCTCTGTGGGGAAGGCAGAGAGGTCAAAAACACTTCAGCAACAAAGTCCACACAGCATTTCAGCATGGGGTACAGAACACAAAGATTTCACCCTGCTGCCTCTCTTCTAAGCTCATGTGTATAGGCTTTGCAGACAGGCTCTTTAAAGGCAGACACTGACCTATTTATAGCTGAAGAGAGATAAAAGTTCCCTGAAGAATTTCACATGGCCTTTCTATCCTCACATTTCTTGAATCTCAGCAGGATCCAAATGCTGGCCAGTTGAACACAGCATGAGTTCTCAGCCCGGTTTCTCAAGCTCACTCCTGAGAACCTGCTAGCTGGCACTGGTGCAGGTGAGTTAAGCAGCCTAACCTTGGGGATGGCACAAACTACTGTCAACACACTAGCAGAGCTGTGTTTAAAATGCCAAGCAGCCCCAGCACCCTGATGCTCCTGGAATGGCATCCCTCATTTAGGAACCTATCGAGTCACTTCCAAAAGGCTTCACAAAGCTGCCCACCCAGGACAGACGATTCCTACCAGCTCACAGCTGCCCAGGGAGCCCACAGCCTGAATGTCTCATAAACTAACTTACACACCCAGCTCTAAAATGCAATGTTAAATACTTCCTCTCCAAAACACTTATTTCTTCAAAACTGTTATTTTTCCCATTTTGCTTTGTTTTGGGCTTACGATAAAGAATGGAATTATTCCACCATTTACCAAATTTTAATATTAATTTAGGTTTAACATTTCCATAAATGGATGAAAATTTGGTATGGATCTTTGAAGAAAAGCTTTACTTACATTTCAAGAAAGGTTGTTTATGCTGTAATGATATATTAAAAGTTTCTATATTACACAAGCACACATTTCCCTCTATAAGAGAGAAATTTGCATGTGGCTGCTTTCAAGCATTATCCATTGGAAACTTGAGTGTCTGTGTATGTGTGTGTGTGCAAGTTCATGTAACTAAAAGTGATGTATTTTTTACTACTTTGCAATTTTTTTCCTACAAATATAGCAAAAAACTTTTTAGACACACAGCCACGACCAAACTGTTTTGGGGGTTATATACAAGTGAGCTACAGTCAGTGTTACTTAAAGCCATCTTGGTATGGTCGAACAGTATGAAACAGGACAACGCAGCAAGAAATTGTGTCTTATAATTTTGTTTCTGATCTCACAGCCTCAAGGAAGTCTTCAACTTTATAGTTCTTTTGCTAATCAGAAAGGGAAGGAGGAAGAATTGGTACAGTAAAGTTGCTGATGCTTATGAAGACTGACACTGGAATATTAGAGGAGTCCTCATATACTAAAGCTGACTTCATTTTTTAAGACACAGTCAATAATTTTAAAAAGGTCAATGTCCTAATTCAATATGATTTGTTTAGATGACCAAACCCAGACAGAGGAAATTAGCAAGACATGCATGTAATTTCCATATCCTTCTAATACAACACATGCAGAGCTCATAGGGGAAAAAAATGGTGTAAAAAGGGGAAACAAAAAAAATTAACAAAACCTGTTGTTACTCAAGTCATAGGGATATCGTGATCAAGCTACGAGGTTGTTACTTGAGAAATCCATCGTAACCTGATCACTGTATCTCCACAACCAGACCAAGACTTGTGTCTAGCACTAATATACACAAATGCATGCAACAACACCACAACCATCAGTTCTCAACATACTTTGGAGACATTTCATTTTATCCTTTAGCCCTGAAACACAGTAAGTGTGATTATTGTATTTCTCAAACAGTTGCGCCCATCAAACATCAGTTTTATATAATTCAAGGACATTTCTAAGAGAACTTCCTCCCCATCCTTTACTAATACAGGTCTGAAGTACAACATTGCAGAAAAGGGAAATGGAGTGTACACTCTTTGTTTATCCAAAAGCATTATGCTGCAAGTCTGTAATCAGCATGCATACCACATCCAATTTTATTGTATTTTTCCAGAATAACTGGGGTATGCAAATTACTGACAGATCACTGAGAGTTGACACACAGCCATACAGAATGAGATTTAGGTGCCCTTAAGAAGTCAAGCCCAGTCAGGGCACAGAAATGTGCTAGGTCATCTTAGGAGTGAACAAGGATGTCTCTTACTTTCATCTTCACTCCAAAGTTAGCTTCTGCTGAGAAAAATGGGAGCAGGCTAGACATGTTCTTATAAAATGTCGCTGGTGATAGTCCTTTCTAAAGTGTGTGGGTTTCAATTCCACACATTCATATTCTGAAGCAAGCAAAAGCAGCATCAATGCATTTAAACCCCCACATTCACAGCACCTACCTCCATTGGCCAGAAGGTTTTCCTGGACTTTATCTTTTGAGTCTTCCATAACTTCTCCTATGTACTGGGCTATTTTCCTTATTACACTTAACAAGAGAAACTTTGTTAGTGAAGAAACAAAATTATTACAAAACAGATTCACAGTGATCTGATAAACACAGAAATACCCAAATAAAACACTTCTGAAACAGAGCAGGTTAGTTTGCAATTCAGATGTTGAAAAATAAAAAAATCTAGGACACAATGCAGACCCTTTAAATACACTGATCTTGGCAAAAACATGAATAATGTCATTTTGCCTGTGCTCTGGACTTACAAAAGATCAAGATTCAGTCTTCTGTACACTCATTATACACATAGCAGAAACCAGAAGGCAAGAAAGGTGAGAAACTCATGTTTAAAACCCCCAAGGAAATTTAGGGAAAGGAGATTACATACAGACATTGACTGAAGATCTGTTCCATAGGATGCTAAAAAAGTCCTTAGAGTTCACTGAGAAAAGGTTCTCAGAAAATACTCAAGGGAAAATAACAGTGTTATCTTGCTTGATGGGGATTTTTTTTTTCTTATTCCTTTTGTTTACAGGACTCTTTCTTCTCTTTTAGCATGGTGAACAAGACACCCCTTTAAGGTGTAGGAGAACTAGATTCAAATCCTTCTGTCCAATTCAGAGTAGTGATTTGTAGAGAGACCCTCCTAGAGAACACTGTCTCCACTGTGCCACTTATTCTTTGCTTATTTTAAGAAATGGATTAATCAAGTCCCTCTAGCAGTAGCTCCCCTTGTCTCTAGTCAAAGCACCTGTCTCACACAGGCTGAGAGACTTTCTGGTTATTTAAGTATCGTTTTACACTCAAAAATATTCACAGAATTTGGCCTGCAGTTCCCTAGCTGTCCTAGGTTGACTACACTTTGTAAAAAACCCAGCAGCTACACCTGACCATTAAACTAGCAGAGACATGAAGTGGACACAATCCTTGGCATTGTGACAGAGAGTGTAACAGCAGGCTTCATTTCTGCTTCATTTATCTTTCCTTACTGAGGGGAGACTACTGTAGCTGCAGATGAGCTGGAGACTGAAAGGGCATCTACAGTGTTTGGACAAGATGTGTTGCTGTGACCAATCCCGTGGTTTTCAAGAGCAGGAAAGGGACTTTGGGCCAGGTATAGATACCAGGAAAGCATCAGAGAAGAGGATTTTTCTTTCATGTGCTGCAAAGCAATTGCATCTATCTCTGTTATTATGAAGAAACTTAGAGTCTTGGGAAAGGTTTTCCAGTCCTATTACAGGTAGGAAAAATCAGATTTCTGATGTTGTCAAGAATGCAGTACTTAAAACTTGTGTTGTTTGGGATAAATTCAGTCTGAAGAAGAGAAGATCTTCTTGTCACCTTTCAGTATATAAAGGGCTCTTATAAGAAAGTTGGTCAGAGGCTTTTTACCAGTGCCTGTAGTGACAGGACAAGAGGCAACACTTTTAAACTAAGAGTAGATTTTGACTGGACATAAAAAAATATTTTTCTTTACTACCAAAAAAAATATTAAAAAATATATAAAATATAAATATAAAATATAAAATATAAATCACTGTGCTAGTGATGAGGCACTAGCACAGGTTTCACAAGGAAGTTGTGGATGTCCAGCCCCTGGAAGCATTCAAGGCCAGGCTTTGAGCAGCTTGGTCTAATGAAAGATGTTCCTGCCAATGGCAGGACGTTGGAACTAGAGGATCTCTAAAGTACCCTTTCAACCCAAATCATTCTTCTCATGACCCTGGACAGGCGCAGTTCAGAGTGCCTGTAGGAGGAATCTATACCACTGTGCTCCAGTTCACATCCCTTTCTCAGAGCTGCTGCAGATTTCACCACCTGGCTGCAGCCCCGTAGGGACCCGGCAGCAGCTGGGGGTTGCTGGAGTACAGCACGTGTTGCCCACACTCAGGCTGTGGGGGGCTTGAGGGATCCAGACAGAGGTTCCCTGACAATTGCAACCTTGCCAAGCACTTCTGCAAATTTCAGCTTGTAAATAGAGCTGGTTTTTGTCTCCTTCACAATGCTCAGAGAGCCCAAAGGACTCAAAGGCAACAAGACAGCATTGGTAAAACCATAACAGAAGGCTAAAGACATTATAGAGAAAGTAGTTCAAAGGAACATGTGTAAACCAGGAGCTTCTCCAAAGAGCCTGAGCTGTTTTCATTACTCTTGAGTGCATCTGGTGGCTGACCTGACAGGTGGGAGACAGCTCTGGCCTTTCTCCATGGATACAAAGGGTGGGACAGGTGTGTACTCTCATGCACCTGACAGTCCTACCTGCCCAGGCAGGGCTTGGCTCTCCTCCCACCCACACATCCCTTGGTCCCTGCAGCAGGATACAGCCACATCATGTGTAATACACTGTGCCAGAGGAATGTTCTCCAGTCCTGCCTTAGCCTCTGTGCACATCCTGTGACATGCAAGCGGGATTCACTCACCCAATACACTTCCTGTGCAGACAGAACCCACCCCCTCCACACCACTGATGTCTGGGACAAATGACAGGAATTAGATTCCTGGAGGAACCCCACTGACTACACTGACATCCAACAATGGGAAGCTTTCACAGCCAACCATCAGATCTCTGCCTTTAGATGAGATGAATCCCATCTTGAGCAAATGTCATGATCAAATGATGCATTATAAAGAGTTTCAGCAAAACTGCTTCAAGAAGTAGTAATAAAAATCTATAAAGGGAATAACTCCATTTAACCTACTATTATGTCTTGAGACTGTGATGTTTTGCCTCTGCAGTCTGATTGCAACCCTGCCATGTCATTAGCTTCCAAAAAAAAAAGAAGTCCAGCACTCTTTAAGTGATAGTGAGAAAGAAAGGGTGCTATCCATCAGGCCTCTGAAATACCGCAGGGAGCAGAAGTCCTGCAATCTGAGGCCACTCCCAAGTATGCCACTGACCAAGGAGCAGAGAGAACCCCCGGGTAAGAGTGACCCAGGAGACTGCCAGCTTTTGAGAGAGCTCCATGCTACCACAGGATGACATGGAAAAACACTCCTCCTCCCTGTGTAAATAAATAATAAAAGTATGTGGAAACAATAGCTCCTGCAAACTCTTGTCCCTTCTCTGCTGTCCTGGCAGGAGGCAGTGCTGACAGGTTTGTGCTGCCTGGCATTACTGGCAGCTGTGTTTATCCAGCAACAGTTCAGCAGGCAGCTCTTTCACGGGACCAGGAATATAAATGCTCAGGTCATCTGAAGAAGGCTTGTAACCCTCTGGATGCCATTTACTTCAACCAAGTGCAAGTGCTTGGCATTTTAACCCTTGAATCACAATGCAGACATAAAACCTGAGGGATTTATTTAATACAAAATTATTTTGTATATCCTTGTGGGATTCAATCTGCTAATACCTTCGATTATTCTGTTATTTTCTGTTACTACTTGAATGTTACTACTCTAATGCATTTTTATTATTTTTCAAAACCTCTTTCTTATATTTAAATCTTAATGGTTGCCTATCTTGACGGGCAAATGAGATAAACAGGAAGAGTCCTTGCCTCAGCAGATTACAGTGGGCCTCACTGACCCTCCTGCTCCATGCCTAGAGCCCATCAGAGGGTAAGAGTCATTACTGGCATTAAAAGGACAATTAGTGGAGTAAAGTGGTGTTCAGCTTGAGCAGGCAGCTGTATCGTGCTGGCAAGTACAGACAAAGATAACAGAAGGAGTCAGTGAGCCTAAGGAGCTCCAACAGATATTTCACTTCTAACTGCCTTCCATGGTCTTACATGGATTCTGCAGTCAGCTTTTCAGAAGTCCTAACTCATAACAAACCTGGAAATTAGTTATGCCTTTCTGAAAAATCAGTTCTGATGATTTCTGGAAGCCCTCAAACCCAGATCACACAGAATCCTATCTGCCACCCTGACTAGAGACACAGAATCACAGAATATTCTGAGTTGGAAGAAATCCACAGGGATCATCAAACACTTTCCATTAGAACAGACAGCATGTATTGGCACTGTCTCTCCCCAAATTTGCCCCCATTTCCACTTCCTCAAGAATTTCTGCAAGTGAAGAAGAAGCTGGAACATGCTACAAAGAATACGGGGCAGTATTTTTGGCAGGGTCACAATGGAGGTGGTTTTGTTGATAAATTAAGTTGCTCTGTCTTGCTTGAAGTCACAGAAAAGCAGTATAGTTTAGTTCTAGGTAGTCCTGTGAGGAGCAGGGTGTTGGACTCAATGATCGTAATAGGTCTGTTTCAACTCAAGATATGAATCATATTCTATGATTCTAAAAGATCAATCTTGTGTGCAACCCAGAATTATCTATCAGATGCAGTCATTCTAATACAACCCTTATGTAGCATCAGTACAATCAGAAAAAAAAAATAAACTATGGAGAAATGTATTCTAGCAGACCAACTTTTACCTTAACTGCCTAGCATAGATGCAAACAGTTTATATCAGGGTTTCTGTATATCTTTGCAACTGCCACACAAAGATCTATGAAAGGATTGAGCATATTTAGACAAAAGAAAATGCTTATCAGTCCGGACTGGGAGAAAAAAGACAAAAAGACCCAAAGCTAATGCATGTCTCTGTGACCAAAACTACGTGTAAGGTAAGCTGCCAAAGCAAAAAAATAGAACAAAGCAGAAAACCCAGCAGCTTAAACCTTCACTGCCTCAAAGTCTACCTTGTGCCATATACTATCTTAAAACCTAGCATTTTCTCAGCTTGCACATCATTCTTTTGTACACCAGGTCAGTTTGTCCCAAGACAAACTTGCCAATTGTCAGCAAGAAGATCATGTGAGTCTTTGCTTAATTAGGTTTGATGCAATATGAGTCAATATTGTGTTTTTTAAGGAGTTTAAAAGCCTGAGAGGGAGAGGTCTGGACTTCATTCAAAAGAATATAATCCTTAAAAATCCTTTACGTAGTTGAAAAGGAATAAAAGGTTCAATAGAAATATTCTGTCAAAACAAAATCAGGAAGGGCTTCACATTCTCTAAGTGTTGTTTTATCAAGTTTCTGGATGAGATGGGAGGATATTCCTTAAAACAAAAACAAAAGCACAAAACAGAACGAAATAACCCTACTACCCACCATTTGAAGCAGTTTCCTTATGAGAAACAGCTTCCCTAGCAGTGCCATTTGAATGGATTACTGTGCTGACAAAGCTACTATTCAGCTAAATTTTGAGGAATGGTCCTTACTTTGTGATAACTCCATGACAGTAAACAGAGGGGTTAAACAAAGCCTAACCACTTTAGTCCAGTTGTAGTCCAGGCTGAACTGAGTCAGTCCGAGGTGAACACAAGGACATATCATCCCATAAAAACAATGACATTTCTCATTTGTAGGTGGTAAATAAGATCTATTTTACCTTTCAGCAAAGCTATCAAGTTTTCCCAACTCATCTGACAGACCAACAAGAGCATCCAGTGTGCCAACCTGCGTAAAAGATGAGAATTAGGTGAAAGATCCACAATTCTGTCTAAGGCTTTTGTAGGCAGAGACTTAAGGAGACTGACTTGTCCTCAGTACATGTGAATTCAACAGTTTGGCAGACCTTTATTTACTTGGTGGAAAATAGTAGCAATTCCTTTACCCAAGAACTAGGGCATAAAAATCCCTTTCCAATAAAGGAAAAAAGTATGTGTAGTCTCAAGATTACACATCAGTGTCTTTCTTCCTGTTTTCACTTCATCCTCTATCATCAAGCTGCATAGAATAGTCTTCAACCAGACAAAACAGTGACTGGAAATGCACACAAATAAAGCACATAAACAAAAAGTCAGATGTACTGAGAGAACAAAGGGAAGCAGCACTTATTCAAAAGGGGGTGTCTGTCTGTGTTCTCTGTTATTACCAAAGCAAGTCTCTCACAATGTCATTTCTGACCAACATCTGCTTTTTGAATCACTGTATTTATGGTATTGCAGCATATTGCCAAACCTTTTCGTGTAATGTTGTCAGCTCAACATTGTGTAGGGTCAATCTAAGGGAGAAGAAACAAATTTTATGTAGAACAAATAGGATGCAAATGGGCATCTTCAGATACTCCAAATGCTTTACCTCCTTCAACGTAAGAAGACTCACCAACCCCAGTGGGGTAAGGTCCACAGATGGTAAAAATAAGGTACATGGATGATAAAAATCATATCAATCTCAGGTGTGCATACAAAAAAGCAAGTCTTTTATCTGTCAGTAATCTTGCTGCCATGGCTGTGGATAGTCAGCATTAGCAATGCATGTATTACTTTGATGACTAGGAGCAAATTGTACATGGAATGCAATAGATCAGTTATTTAACATCTCAACATATTCATATATGAATATGTCATGAATAACATATTCAACAACTCATGTTCCTTATACGTGTACACTTCCAATGTGAAGCTCAGCTTCAAGCACAATTACTTATTTCTCTCTGATCAGTTTTCAGTTGACTGAACACAACTCATCCCCTAACCACAGTCTCCTTCTACTGTCTGCACATTATCCCAAATGATAAATTCCATATTTATCCCAAATTTAGCCCCAGCCAATGCTGCTGTATTGCCCATACACAAACCCCTTCCTCACTTACCTTTAAGTCTGGAATATGGAATTTACTGTTGCTGGACAGGTTGGATTTAGATGTCACAGTGTTCATTCTCTCCCATGCCTGCAGATTTGTTTTGTCTCCCGGAGCAGAAATTAGCCAGAACTCCGACATGATCTAATATTTTCCCTTCACTGCTGGTCACTGTAGAAACTCAAAGCAGGTAAGCGGCTAAAAGAGCACCACACAAAATGTGTTCTTCCCTAAGAACAGAAAGAGTTAGAACAGATCACTGATTTCTTTTCTTCAGAAACACCAGGAGAGTGAGTCAGTTCTGTGTCTCAGGCCGAAATGGAACATGACCTTCTCCAGAATGTCACGGAAAGAGTGTGGCTGTTCCTTCCTTCTTAGGATTGCTCCATCCAGTTTCTGCCTGAAGAAATGAAGCTTTCTCCTCCCCTTTTCCCTCCCAGCCTGTTCCATTTGCCTTGCACTTTAACTTCAGTGCCTATTGGGGAGCTTGGGGGCTTCACCGAACCACCCAAATGTAATAAAGAATTTCTGCTTGATAAATATTCTATCTCAAATTGTTGGACATTTGCAAGGAAAAATGAAAGGAAGACCTCTGCTGAGCACAGAGGCTGCAAAAGATACCACTGGCAAGACGGAATTTTGCTCTCCTCTATGTTTTTTCTTCCCAAGATAGGGAAGTCCTATCGCCTCGTTAGGAAGGAGCTGGAGGAAGGCAAGTCCTGGCGTACAGGGACGGTATCGGCAGAGCCACACAGATGGAAGTGTGGCGAGAATAGAGGGACAACTACTAGAGGGAAGCGAAGAGATAAGGGCAGAAGAGCGAGTAGCTGGCACCAGACCGCAATCCTCCGTTCCTCCCCGAGAGCTCCCGCGGAGCATCCCCGCCGGCCGCCCTCGCTCCCAGCTGCGCGGGACGGGGCAGCTGCGGTCCTC